GGTGGGTGGTGTCACCCCGACACTAGCATCAAGGCGTAGCTTCTCACCCCTTCACATGACCTAAGTTACCTCTTGTACTTATGACATGGTGTACCCAACCCTCCTTGACAGCCCTGACCTGGTGTGCCACAGTGCCGCGCACGTGTACAACAGTACCTGCCCCAGACCCAACACAGTGTGTACCCCATTACCACCCCCCCCCCGAACACACTCATGGTGTGGTGCAGCTCACGACTGACACCCGTCGTGCCCCTACTCACGGCTGTGTACCTGTTCCTCTGCACACCTGTGACATGGTGGAGTTATCACCCCAAAAGACTCAACACATGGTGCGCCCCACCATGCCCCTGGGCTCCCAAAATGGTGTTTCCCACCACACCTCACACCCATGACATGACCTCACATCCCAGTATCAAACTTGCAAAGTGGTTTCTCTATCACGTTCGTGACATGGCGTGTCCCATCACACCTTCCACCGGAGGCACAGCGTGTAGAACATGACTGCACCCTCCCACACCGTGACGTGCCCTGTGGCAGGCTCAGGATGGTGTCCCCATCACCCCTCATGCTGATCCCACAGCATCTCCCTCTTCACAAGTGTGACCTGGTGTATCTGTCACCCCTCACATGGGGCCTCCATCGCTCTTGCGCCCGTGGCAGCGGGTCTACTGCTGCCTTGCATCTACCAAAGGCCTTCAGCTCTTGCTTGCAGGCGCAGTCTCACCTTCACAGCTCCCACCACTCCCAGGCCGTAGCTCAGCCTCTTGCTGCGGCTGTAGCACGACAACCGGCCCACCCGGGGTGAGACATGACCCATCCTTTACCAACATCTGCCAGGTCCCAGCCTGATGCCCTGCCTGTGCCCAGTCCTCCCTGTGCTGCATCCTGTGACATCTCATACCGTGCAGTATCTCGAAAAGGCCAAATCCTGACTTCTCTCACCAGGGCAAAGTGGCAACCACTGGTGCCAGCCCTTGAAGCAGCAGCACCGGGGAGAAAGCAGCCACGGCCGTGCCCGTGCTGCCTCGAAGGGGCACAAACCTCCCCATCCAACCTCAGCTCCCACCTCCCTTTCCCTAGGGACCAGTTAACCCCCTTCCCTCCCAGACCCCTGGCTTGGGGCTTTCTTTGTAACCATCTACAGCATGTAGACTTAAACTGAGATTACATTGTACTTGAAAACACATCCTTGCATTTTTATTTGAAGGCGTTACGTCTATTTGATAGTGGATGTTAAAGATCATCAGCGAAGCGTCAGGTCGCACATTCATACATGCTCAGTGTGCAGTGGAGTAGTTAACAGCATCGACATCTGCAATGTTATCTCCGGCAACAACGGTTCCATCCCTTGAAACAAGCTCGGAGCTACCGTTGGGACTCCAGGCCAACGTCCTCCTCCAAAGAGGTGGAAAGGGAGGAACAATATCAAGAAAACGGCAGGTTTTTTTCCCCACTGTGTATCATGAAAGCTTCGTGCACTTCTTTCTCAAGGCGCTAACACCCTGCTGCCTGTGCGCTCCCGACACCATTTAGCCATGGTGAACCTAGTCACATCTGTGCACGTGCCACAAACGCATCGCTCATTCACACCCTGTGCCTGCCACCGAGCCATCCCTCTTCTTTCTCAGCTGCTTGGCCCCAGGCCCACTTGCTCTGCGATGGCTTCCCCGTGGGCGACCTCCTTGCGCCACGTGCTCGCAGGGTCTGGATGGGAGCGACACCACCTGCCCCACAGGCACCCACTACCCCACGGCGTAACCTCCAAGGTGAGGTTACTCACACCACCGAGGGGTTTTGCTCCTTCCCGAAGGGCTCTCCTCCTCCAGACAACCCAAAATCAAAGAGGTGCCCAGCCGAAGGGTGGCTCCTGCAAACCCTTTGTGTCCAGACCAAAAGAAGCTGGGATCCCGTGAAGCTGGAAAACCTCATCCCAAGGGTGACGGATGGGGCCTGGCTCCCTGGGGTCTGTGGGGTGTCCTGCAGATACTGGAGTGCATAGCCCCCTTCAGCCCCATCTTGTTAGTGTGTGGTTGGAGTGGGCCAAGTGGACCCTGGGGACACGTTGGAGAGGTTAGGAAAGCTTCTTGGTTTTGTCTTTTCGGAAGAGATAGCGAAACAGGTAGGAGGTAGGGCAAGCCCCCTCAAGCCTCCTTGGAGGCCCCTGAACTACCGAGACACTAAACCCAGGCGTTGCGGCTGCTGTTGGCTGCAGCCCTTGGAGCCGAGAGGGAAATGGCCTTTTCCAAGCTGACACCTGCCCTGGGAAGGGGGACAGACAGCTCCAAGAAGCTGACCCCAGTGGAACCCCTCTTGGCACACCTCCTCGGCCAGAGGAACCCCAGGCCTCGTGCCGCTCTGGGCTGCTTGCACTGGGGAGCAGGTCGTCTCCAGCTCAGCTCCCATGGTGACGCCCACAGTGTCAGCTCTGCTTGAAGGCACCCCCAGGGTCAAAAGGACCTTTCCAGAGCCTCCGAGGGGCCCAGAACCAGACCAGCGAAGAGGGAAGTGGCGATGGCCGCTGGCCCACCAGCTCTCTCGGCTCTGCCCGGTGCTCCCAGCGCAGGTGGCCTCCTGCACTGAACATCTCAATAGATGGTTTAAATTGACGTTTCCAATCTGAGAATTTGTAAAGTCGGGGCTTTTTCTCTGGATTCGCCCCCAAACCTCTGCCCTCCCCCCTCCCGCTGGGGTGGGACCGGGGAGCTGCAGTGCTTGGCAGCTCCCAGTCTCTCTGGGGGCCTCAGCGGTTCCCACCCTGGAAGCTCACCCCCCCTCAAACATCTACCACCACACGAGGACAGCTCTCCTCCCAAATGGACACTGTTCAACAAGAACCACCAAGGATAAAATCAGGGCAGGGGCCTGGGGTCCCTCCCTGCTCGACCCCAGCTGCATGTCAAGACCTCGGAGGCAGAGACGCCGCCCGTCAGCATCCCGCTCCCTGTCCCAGCTGGGGCTGGGGCTGTCACGCAGCAGCCGAGGCTGGGGGGAACAATGGGAACGGGGGTCCTGGCTCTCAGTGGGAGGCACGGGGCGAGCGTTTATGACAGAAGGGCCGCCCAGCTGCCCCGAGCTTGCACCAGAGCCTGGAGCTGATTTTATCCTTGGATGTCAAAGAAACCAAAATGGAGAGAAACAAAGGAAAGAGCTACATCGACCCCAGCCCAACATCCCAACCAAGGGCCCAAAGCAAAGAGCAGCCACGAAACCAAAGCAAAGGTCCAAAGGAAGAAGGAAAGTCGCTCACTCACTGGTTGGTCTGTGTTTTGTGCGAGCACTGGTCACAGGGATGAAGGTGCAAGCAAGCAAACGGGGCCGGGGCTTTCGCTGTTCGTAGTAATAACGTTTTGTACAAGTTCAAGAAGAAGCATCATGTCTCAGGCTGGTTGCTCTCTGCTCTCTGTCCTGCCATCCCTCTGTCCGTCCGTCTGCCCGTGCCGGGCGCGAGAGAAAATCTGTTGGGTTGAGTGGGGTTTGTGGTCTGGTTTCCGTTTCCATCGGGGTCTGTTGGCTCCATTTCTCACTCTCTCCGACGTCCCTAGATGAAATACTCCTTCTTGTCATCGCTGCCAGCTTGGCCGCCCTCTGCATTGATGATGGCCGTGTCGGCATCCGGGGCATCATCCGACCCCTTGGCCTCGTGGGTCAGGTAGGTACCTGGGCGAGGAGAGGGGGTGAGCGTCACAGTGGGATCCTGCGGGCACCCCGCTCCCATGCAAGCAGGGGGAGGCTGGGCTGCCTGGAGGGGCCCCGGTGGCAGAGCCCGAGGGCTAGCTGGAAAGCAGAGATCAGAGGAAAGTCCTTTGGGTTTGGCCTGAAATGGAAAAGTCACCGGTTTTCCCTGGGACAAGCCCTGCCTGGGGATTCAGCCTCGCCCGGGCTGCTCAAAAGGCTTTCGCAGTCGTCTCTAGCCAGAGGGTGAAAATGCCTCTCCCTTTGCAGCCCTTGCCCGCGTTTCCGGCATGTCTTCTGCTCTCCCCACCATCGGCCCCCCGCCCCTGCTTCCCTGTCCCTGTTCCCCCTCAGAAAACTGAAGGGTTTCTCTGCAAAACTGCCATCTGCAAAGAGGCTGCAGGTCCCGGCTGCCCCCAGAGCCGGCACGGTGCGGGGCAGAGCCGGCAGCTCTGCTGGGTTCGGACGGCAGGGTTGAGGGGGCTCTTACTCACACATCACCTCTGCTGGGTTTTGCCGATGTCTGGATGTGACCGTCTCCCCGTGTCTTATGCACATACCTGCTGGGCGGATGAAAAGTCCAGGGATGGGGAGATGGAAATGGTGGAGAGGAAGGAGGAGAAGGAAGGCGGAGGGCTCGAGGGATGCTGAGGAGGGCACGGAGAGGGAGGAGGCGGGTCAGGCACAGACGGGCACAGTGGCACGGGCAGTCCCGGGGCAGTGGGTAGCAAGCCATGAAGGAGAAACGGGGTAGGAGCTGCCTCCACCTGGTGCTGCCCAGCTCCAAGGACTCACCGGGACATTCCCACGCTGGGGTCGGTGCCAGCACAGGCACAGGTTGCAGCCCCCAAACCCAGGAGGGCTCCGATGGCTGCACTGGGTTTCTCTGGATACAGGGCAGGTCTGCAGGATGGGGAGCTGCCTCCCTTGGCCCCCTGCC